TCCCAGGGTGGGAGTTTGCATGGGGCACCCCCTGGATTGGGGTGAAAGACTCGCAGGGAGCTGTGGCCCAGTGCTCCCCCCGAACTGGGGCAGGTGGTGCCAGGGGAGAGGAGCAGCTGAGGGCTCGGGGCTGGGCTGGGTTGGGGTGTGCAGTGTGCAAAGAGGGGGGCAGTGAGGGCAGGGCCCCCCCGTGCCCCCCAGGAGTGTGGCAGGATGAGCTCCCCAGGCAGTGCCAGCAGTGCCTTCCCTCTGCATGTCCTGGTCTGGAATAACGACTACAGGCGGCTGGAGCAGGAGCTGCAGGGCAAGGTAAGGGGGTGCGAGGGCTCTGGGGGTGCTGCTGGGGGCTGGTGGCCCCCAAGGGCTTGTGCCACTGTGCAGGGCTTGCTGCCCCTTGCTGGGCTGGGGAGAAGCACCTTGGTGGTCCTGCCAGGTGTGTTCTCTCAGGGCTTGAGGGATCCCTGCACTGCTTCTTCTTTATTCGTGGTGTGTGGTGATGTGAGAAGCTCTAAGAATGCATTTATGAGGGATGTTACTCTATGGTTGGACATCTATTTATGTTGGATGCACATCCTGTGATTCCATTAAGCATTGGCTTCTTACCTGTAGAGCTGTGCTCAGGGCACAGCTGCAGATCAGCTCTTTGGGGAGAGTTAGGAGTGCCTGGAACAGCTCAGGAAGAGCAGCTCTGGTGCACATGAATTCATTTATTAAAGCAATATATCCTGCTTATCTTAATGGGAGCTCAGTGTGGAGCAAAGGAGCTGCAGCTGCCAAAGATCAAACCAGCCCTGCCTTACTGAGCACCAGCAGCTCTCACAGGTTCATTGCTGCCCAAGGCTGGGCACAGAGTTTTTGTGCTGCTTAGAATGTTTTCAGCATCTCTGGTGAAGAAATGGGTCATTGTTCCGTGCTGGAGAGCAGGAGAACACAGAGCTGTCCCCTCTCTGGGACACGGTGACGTAAGGGAATGGCCTGAAAAGCTGCAGCAGAGCTCAGGCAGCAAAACCCTCTTCTGGCTGAGCTGTGGAAAGGCTCTGCTCCAGGAGTGCAGCTTGCAGAAGCAGAGTACACCCGTGAGTTACACCTGACACTACAAGTACCGGAGCCAAAGAGCAGCTGTGCCACCTCCTGCCTGTCACCTGCAGCCCTAGGGGACACCTGACTGACTAATGCCTGCTTGGAGCATGTGCCTGCCCTGGCTTGGGAGAGTCTTTGGAATGCAGATATTTTTTATCTGATTTATGCCATTTTACACCCTAACAGCACCCTTGGCCTTACTGGCACCTTGCTGCTGTGTGTTTGTTTCTGTCCCACAGTGTCCTCCCCTGGGAGGGTTTGTCATGGAACAGGGACCACCCAGCAGCTCACACCTGGGAGTGCTGCTTCCTCCCTCATTCCACGAGGGAACCACCACTGTGGGAAGGTGGAACCTGTCTATCTCTTATTTCCTTGATCTGCTTTCAATGCCTTCTGGTTTTTTTCAAGTATTCCAAAGATGTTTTCCTCCTGCTCCCCTTGGGATGAGCTTCCTGCTGCCAGAGGGTGTGTGAGGGGGGCCAAAGCCACTTGCAGCTGGTGTGGCAAACAGGGCTGGGTGTGTGGGGGCAGCAGCAGAGACAGCAGGGAGGGCCCCTTGGAGCCCTGAGCTGTCAGTGCTGCAGGTGTTGGAGCTGCAGGAGGTGGGGAAGGAAATTAATTAAGGTTCCAGCACGGAGGTGATGAGAAGAGGCTTTAAAGCAAAGCTTTCCCCACTGTGTGTGACATTTCTGACTCACTGCTGCCAGATAACCCTGTTAACATGCATAATAACTTTCCTTTCTTGTTCTGCTATTGACTTTCCCCTTTTCCTTTAGTTATAGATGCTCTTCTGTTTCAAATCTCTAAGCTAATAGTGAGAAATGTGTAAGGTATGAGTATGTTGTGCCTGCATGTCTTGGGTGTTCGTGCCTGTGTAGTTAATTGTTTAGTGACCTGTAGAGAATGCCCCCACTCCTCATTGTGCTGTGTGTGCCTTGTGAAACACCATTTGCTTCTCTCCTTTCCCCAAGTGCTGTCCAATATCAGTGTTGTTGCTTTTTTTCCCCCCCACACATTTTGTTGTACAATTTAAACCCTCCTGGGGGGAGTCTCAGGCTCTTGGCTGTCCGTGGGGTGATACACACAGATGAAAACTGGAAATGACCCTTCTGGAGGGGAAATACTGACAGAAGAAGAGATGAGGAGCATCAACAAGAGCTCATGTCCCACAGTGCTGCAGTTTGGGGTCAGTTTATAGCCCCAGTGCTGCTTCTCTGTTTAATTTCCACGGGGAAGTGAGTGACCCTGCAGAAGGGCCGTGCAGCAGTGTAGGAATACCCAGGGGGTATTGGCTCCTGGATCACCTCTCTGTACAAGCTGTGGTGAGCTGCAGCTGCTGGAGCAGCCTCAGCTCTGTCTCTGGGCCCCAGCAGGACGTGGAGCAGCGTGACCCGCGGGGCAGGACCTTACTGCACCTGGCTGTGTCCCTGGGCTACGTCGAGTCTGCCAGAGTCCTCCTGCAGCACCAGGCAGATGTGAGCAAGGAGAACGCACAGGGATGGACAGGTAAGGGCATCCTGGGGAGCAGAGCCTCGTGCCAGTACTGATTTTTGGTTGCAGATGGTTGTGTTTTGTGGTTTTACGTGGGATTTCGATCAGGGTTTGGGTCAGAGGGTGAACTGACCTGAGGCTGTGGGGGTGTGTGTGTCTTCCAGTGCTGCCTGAGGCTGTCAGCACAGGGGACCCAGAGCTGGTGCAAATGATCCTGCAGCACAGGGACTACCAGCAGGCCTCCAGGACACTGGGAGGAGTTCCAGAGTTACTGCAGAAAATCAACCAGGTAACCAGTTCCTGTAAACCTCTCACACCAGGCTGAATCTCCACTTGAGTCCTCATGCAAGTATCTCAGTTAGGTGAACTGAAAGCAGGTGTATGTTGTTCCAACCTGCATATTCCATGGTGCTGTGGGAGGTGGAGGCTTTTCCTTGTCCTTGCTTTGACATCCTTAGTCATGAACTCCAACCTTGGAGGCTGAATCTTGAAGGTGTTGCTGCTCCTCTAGCAAACTAAGGTAGAGCAGCACCCCAGAAAGCAGCAGGGCAGGGCAGTAACTTTTGTGCTTGCTAGTTTCAATTTCAGTTTTAGCATCTATCATTTCTCCAGTTCTGCTCTTGGTTTGTTTCCCTTCATCTAAATGAAATGCTGCACTGAATGTCGCAGCAAAACTGTTCCACGAAGTGAATTCATCAGGTGTTTTCCTTCTTCAGACCCCTGACTTCTATGTGGAGATGAAGTGGGAGTTCACGAGCTGGGGTAAGAATCCTGCTTCTCCCGACCTCTTCCAACCTGGAGAAATACATTGCAAGTGTCACAGAGGAGTATCTGCTCCCCAGGACCCTCCTCTCCCTCCCTCCCAAAATTAACCTCTTGGATTTGTGTTGCACAATTACTCTCTGTTCCTCGTTTGGCTGGTTGGGTTTTAGTGGAGAGTTTAGCTGTTGTTTCAGTTGCTGAAGATTTTTCTGGGGGTTAATTACCTGTCCGTGTCCATCCATGACCAAGGCATAAGATCTCATCTAGGGATACACAGGCACCTTTTGCCTTAAAGGAGTGAACCCTGAACCTTACAGCTGACTAAATACTCCAGCTATCAAACTATCAGACTGCTAGGGATGGGGTTTGTGCCCTTTCACATCTCTGAGTCTGATCTTTTAGGCCATCCATGACTAAGAGATGATATCTCACCTATGGATGCACAGGCTACTTGGGAAGTTCCTGCTTTTCCCTCAAAGGAGTGAACACTAGGCCTCACAGCTGCCTAAACACTCCAGATATCACACTATTAGGCTACCAGAGATGGCGTTTATGCCACTTCACATCTTTAAGTCTCATCTATTTTGTTTTCACCTGTGATTTAAATGAGGTGGTTTGTCCCTGAGCTGATTGTCCTTAAAGCTCCAGAGGTTCAGTCTCTCACCTCCTCGGGAACAGCAATCCCAGGACTGAGCAATCCTGTGCCAGGGATGTGGCTCGTGCTGGAGTTCAGGCTTCCTCCCTGGCACGTTTCCCACTGAGCTGTGTGTGCTGTGCCCTCCCAGTGCCCCTGGTGTCTCGTGTGTGCCCCAGTGACGTGTGCCGCATCTGGAAGAGTGGGGCCAAGCTGCGTGTGGACTTGACCCTGCTGGGCTTCGACAACAGGAGCTGGGAGAGGGGCAGGAGGACCTTGATTTTCAAGGGAGAAGGTAAATAACCTTGGACTTTAGCCTGTCTGCACCACTGGGCCCCAATGAACGTGAGGGCACAAGGAGAAATCCTGATTTTGCACCAGGCTGGGAGCTGAGTTTTACAGAGGTTCGATACCTATGAGTGTTTGGTCATGGCTGCATCTCCTTTGGGTAAATCTGAGATCCAAATTTGGCAAGAGGGCTAAAATATTTTACTTGCCTATGTGGCCATTAGAGCTAAAACTTTCTATGATAATTTGACTTCAATATTTCCTCAATTTCCCCTTCTGTTCTGCCTCCCAAATCAAAGACAATTTCAGCTCCAGCTCCAAATCTAATCCCATCTGAGTGCAAATGCAGTGGGTTGGCATCCACCTGGATTTGATACCCCATTTACCCTCAGCTTCTCACTCTGGAACACTCTTGCTGTGAGGTTTTTTTTTAACTGGCATGTGCCATTTCCACCAGACACAGGAGGTTGGGCAGAGCTCATCGAGATCAACCACGACGACAGGTTTGTGACCACAGAGAGGTTTGAGATCTCCCAACACATGAAGCAGCTGACCCTGGGGTCGATGACACCCAAGAGGAAGGATGTGGAGAGACGTCTCACCACTCCCATCATCAGCACTCGCCTGGACACCAGAAACATTGCTTTTGAGAGGTGAGAGGCAGAGCTGCTCCTAGCCAAGAAACACTCTGAGGCTGTGGATGGCCATGCTGGGAAAAAAAAAGCCTTAAAACCAAACTCTCCAAAGCTTTTAGGGGTAGGTCTGAAAACACTTTAAGCTTCACATGTCATTAAGTAAAGAAATGTGGTTTGGTCAACTTAGAATCATAAAGGTCTTTTCCAACCTTGATGGGTTCTAAGATCAACTTGCCACAATTGCTTGGCAAAAAAAGTTCCCAGCTGGAATAAACCATTTGAGAAAACTTCCAGTTTGTCATAGCAACAAGATGGAATCATTATATTAACAAGACAGAATCATTAAGGTTGGAACAGACCTCTGAGTCAAGTCAATGTTAATGGCTCATTAAGGACTTGCATCTCACCCAAATCCGTATCCACAGTGCTGAAACTAATGGGCAAGAACTCACATTTTGTGGCTGATGAGTCAAATCTCACATGAATCCTTTAACTAAATGTCTGGAGTGTGTTTTAACAGACACACCTTTGTCTTCCTTGAGTACTGCCTGTGGTTTTCCAGGTATCTGGGGTTAATCATCTGTCCAGTGTAGTTTCAAATCAGTTTGAGAAGACCAGGCTAGGGGTTGTGTGGAAGTACAGCTGTGCAGACACTTGTGTTCACTCTTTGTCAGAACCACATCTGGATTCTGGGTCTGGAGGACAGAAAAAGCAGAAGGTGTCAATGGTTATGAAGCCAAGGTAAAGCCTGTTCTGTTCTACTCACAGATTTTACACCAGACTCAGGTGTGGTTGTGTTTTTCCTGTATTTTCTGAATAGTTCAGGTCATAAAATTGCCATGGAGAGGTTTATTGTGTTGCCAACAGCACTGGGACTGCCAGGCCTGGGGGAGGGATGGTGCCTGTGTGCAGGAGTGCCAACAGGGGCTTTAGGGCACAGGGAGGCGCAGAGAGAGGCGGAGAGCTGCAGGCACTCCCCAAAACCTGGAACTTAACTCACTCTTGGACATTGCCCTTGTGTTGCTGTGGCCAAGAGGAGGAACCTGTTGAATGCCTGGAGCACTCCCTGCTAACACAATCTGTGTTCACTCCAGGTTTGGGAATCCGAGCAATAAATTACCTGTTGTAGTTTCATTTAGCAGAAGAAATAAATGCTGAGGAACTTTTCCATTTAGGGCTGTTCAGTTGGAGATGAGGCTCATGAGTATTCAGAATTAAACTCCCACTGAATGTCACTTGGGAGGTCTTAGGAGTGACCCTGGTTTAGAAATGGCATTGCCTGATCTTCCTTCCCCATTCCCTCTTAAAAATCTCTTCTGTCCAGCCAGTTTGGAAATTCCTGTGTAGTTCTGAGGTTGGTTTAGTTAGCTTTGTGTGCAGGTTCTGAGTGGGTTTGTCCCTGTGTTTTCCCAGGTGTATGTGGCAAACAATGTCAATGTGGTCACACGGATCCGGACAGAGCATCTCACAGAGGAGGAGAAGAGGAGATACAAAGGTACTTTTCCTATAGCAGCACCTTTTGGCTGTCTGATACCTCCTCTGTGTGACTGCAGGACTGGGCAGACAGACAAGGGGAAATTCTTTTCCTGCTGCCTTTGCCCTGCTTTCCTTTCCCATTATTCCACTCCTAACCTACAAATGGAACTGTATTTTCCCTACTCTATTCAGAGGAAAGCAAAGCCCTTCAAACCTGTGGAAAGTTTATTGGCAGTTTTCAAAGGCTGCACTTCCCTGCTCTGGAATGCCTTGACTTCACTTTGGCCATGGCTACAAGATACACAGAGGCTTTGATTGCTTGGATGTTTTGTTTTGTTTTGCTCCACTAATTTCTTCCACTGTTTAAATTAACGGGTGACCAGCCAGTAACTCTGTATGGAAGTTCTCCCACCTGGGGCCACTGTGAGGCACTGTGACCCCTAAAGTTGTCTGTTAATCTCAGAAACCACTGGAAATCTTTGCCTCTCCCCTGGGATTTGCCCCCAGTTTATGCTGTGAGCTGCAGGTCCTGGGCCTCCCTGGTGAAGCTCACAGGAATATCACAGCTCACTCCCCTTTGGGTTGGAAGCTTAGCTGTCAGCCTGTATGCAAATTTGACTGCTAATTAGTAGTAATAAATGCTTTTGTTTTCCCTCCTGTTCTCTGAAGCTGACAGGAGCCCCTTGGAATCATTCCTGGGCACAGTGGAGCACGAATATGGTGCTCAGGTGAGTGATGCCAGCACAGATCTGTGCCAGCAGGAGTTTTCCTGTAGACTGTTTGGTCTGTACATTTTGGGATGTTTTTCCTTCTCTTTCCTCCTAGAGTACAACCAAGACAGAGTATGCTGCAACCAACAACCCCACTGCTATCACTCTGGAGGAGTACTTTGACCCAGGCTTTGATCTGAAGGGCAGAGACATAGGGAGGCCAAAAGAAGTCACCATTAGGACACAGAAGTGAGAATCACCATTTTAACTACTTCTACTGTCTTTTTCCCACTTACCTAATCCCTGGGAAGCATTTTGTAGAAAGTCCCAGTGTGGATTTCCATAGCTTTCCCAATTGATCAAAGAAAGACCTTGAGGTTCTCAGCTATAATCTGATATTTTTTCTTAAGCTGAGCCAAAGAAAAACATTTGGGCTAGTGCTGTAACTTGTTAGTCACCTCCTATTAGTGCATCTGTCTTTGCATCTGTTCCCAAACTGTGAATTTAGGATGTCTTTATATGCAACTCTCTCCTTAAGGTTTAAAGCAACCCTGTGGATGAGTGAGGAGTTCCCCTTGTCCCTGATGGAACAAGTCACTCCCATCATCGACCTGATGGCCAGAAATAGTGCTCATTTTGCCAGGCTGAGGGATCTCATCACTCTGGAATTTCCACCAGGATTTCCTGTCAAAATTGGTAATATTTAGCAATTTGTAGCATCTTCATGGCTATTTTTTTCCTTTGGTTTTACAGAATACGTTTGCAAAAACCACATTGGCTTTTTACTTGTCACCTCACTGATACCTAAAGCCTTGTCTTGTATCTCTGAGGTTATTGAATCCAAATGCTGAGTGACAGAAGTATCATTTTAGAGGCAGTGTTGTCTCAGTGACCCCTTGAGCTGTTTCCAGCCCTTTCCTCTTAGCTCTGATGCCTTAAATTTGGCAAATCTTACCCTAAAATTAAGAGATTTGAAGATGATATGAGAATGACTACGGGCAACTTGAGATTTGAAGATGATATGAGAATGACTAAGGGCAACTTGGTGAAGTGAGTTACTCCATGCTCTGTCATTTCAGGATGCTGTTGTGGAACATAGCCAGTAAACATGGAAGGGTTTGGTGTAGGTGTGGAAGTGAAAGTTCTTGCTCTGACAGAAATGTTGTGCTCCCGCAGAAATTCCTCTGTTCCACGTGCTCAATGCCAGAATTACCTTTGAAAATGTCAACAGCTGCAGGACAGCTGAGAAATCCTCCTCACAGGTGGCTGGAGCTGCACAGGGTGATGCAGGTAAGGGGTGGAAGGAGACAGGGATCCCACCTTGTTGCATCCCTGGCAGGGGAATGCACAGAGGAGAGAGGTGGGAGAGCTGCAGGGGGTGAAACTTGCACAGATGAGGGGAAGCTGCAATGTATTCCAGCTCCCCTGGGCCTCTCCTGCCCCTTCCATGCTGCCAGAGTGGCTAAACTCACCTCCAGCAAGATTTCCTGAGTGTTTTGAGGCCTCAACTCTGGTGCAAGCTGGAATACAAAACTGCTGTGAGTGACTTCAGAAAAAAAGTGGATTACATTGGAGTCTGAGCTCATGTCTGCATAAATCCAGTGATACTCTGTCCTGTGAGCTGCTGCAGACACATTCCTGAGGAATAACCTCAGGAGAGCCACTGGAAAATTTATCTTTTGGAGCCTTTTTTCCCCCTCCCCTCTGCTTTTATCAGAGCTCAGGCACCTCAGTGTCCTGCTGCACACTTGGTTTGTGTCTCACTTCCCAATATCCTACAGAAGTCTCTGCCCTCTGTCCCACTGCTGTGCTGGTTTGCCACAAAAGGCTTTCACAGCCTCTTGGTGTGTTATCCTGATGGTTTAATCTGGGGTTTTGCAGCTCACTTCATCATGCACAAAGCAGAATCCTTGAAGTCCCAACTTGCAGGAATACTTTCTGCCACGTTTGTGACCATGTTTGGCTTCTGCAGGTGCTGATTTTGAGGTTGACCAGTCTGTGTTTGAGATCCCCAAATCCTACCACATCCAAGATGATGGCAGGAACATCCACGTGCAGGATGAGGACAATGAGATCATGCAGTTTGCCATCCAGCAGAGCTTGTTGGAATCTGGTGGAAGCAAGGTGAGTGGGATGGAATCTGTGCAGGGGCAGGGCTGGCAGGGCCTGTGCAGCAGCAGCTGAGGGAAATAAGTGTAGGACCTATTATTTGGGGGTTCCTCTCAGTGAGTTGCTCTGCAGGTCTGTTAACTGCTGTGGAATTCTCTCTCTTTCCCCATCTCCAGGAGCTGGGATTGCATTCCAACGGAGCAGTTGCACATTCCCAGGACTTCAACATACAGTACCAGAGGTAACTTTTTTCAGATCAAGCCAAGCAGTGGCAGAGCAAAAATACTCCCAACAGCAGCAGTTGTGCAGTGTTTTGGTGTATGAGGGCAGCAGGTGCACAGACCTCGGAGTCTCTTTCTTGTGCTGCTTCCAATTCTTACTTTTCCAAGAAGCAAAGACTCCAGACTGGACCTCTCTGCTTCATACAGTGCAGCTATTCCCAGCTGAGGGACTGCTCTGTGCACACCACAGATTCTTCACCCAAAAAAACCAAACCCAGTCCTGTTGTGCTCCCACAGCTCTGAATTTGATCCCTGTGGGGTGAATATTTGGTTGTTAGATGCTGCACCCTCCAGAGCAGCTCTTCCTTCTTTGCAAAATCCTTATGGAATCCTTTAAGAGCTTTGGAATGTGTATTTAATGGGCAGTTGAGAATGTGCTCTGGTGTCTGTGAGGTCTTTCTGTAAGTGCAGAGAAATCTCTCTGTGCACACCAAGCACAAAACATCTTCTGGCTTCTTTTTGCATGGGAAGTCATGCTTAACCCAGGGGAAAATGCTTTTAGCCCCTTGGACATAAAACTGTCGGTGTGTATGAAGGATTTGAAGCTTCACAGGACAGGTTGGACATTGTAGATGTTAGAGCAGATGCTCTTAACCTGCTCTCTGCCCTCTGGGAAGAGGTTTGTGTGTAGGAAACAGCTGCCAGGAAGGATCAGTGCAAGGAACGTGACATAGGCTCTGTCTCTTTTCCTTGCTCTGTCTGTTTTCCTTGCTGAAGTTGTTGTTTTTTGATGAAGGATTTGAAGCTTCACAGGACAGGTTGGACATTGTAGATGTTAGAGCAGATGCTCTTAACCTGCTCTCTGCCCTCTGGGAAGAGGTTTGTGTGTAGGAAACAGCTGCCAGGAAGGATCAGTGCAAGGAACGTGACATAGGCTCTGTCTCTTTTCCTTGCTCTGTCTGTTTTCCTTGCTGAAGTTGTTGTTTTTTGCATCAGGGCGCTCTGTCTGTTTTCCTTGCTGAAGTTGGCTTTTTTTTTCTCCATCAGGGCACTGCAGGAGAGCTTTCTGGCCAGCTCAGGGAACCCCCACTGCAGCCTCCCTAGGGAACCTTCCAGCTTTGAGCAGGACTTGCAGCGTGCCCTGGAGCTGTCCGTGCGGGAGCAGGAGGAACGGGAGAAGCAGCAACGTGAGGAGGAAGATGCTGAGCTCCAGCAAGTTCTACAGCTTTCTCTGGTGGAAAAATAGCTCCTGGGTGACCTCCTGAAGTAAGGGCTGACCCAGTTGTGTAAAACTGTTTGCAGGGCTGGCTGAGGACCACTCCTGGATTGCTTAAGGAAACATTTCACTTGCCCTTCTGAGTTGGCGTCAGCAGCACCAACAAGCTGATTTGGTTTTGCTGGGGAGTTTCAGGTCTCAGGACTCTGCAGTTGGCTCCCCAACCACACAGTCTTAGCTTGGAAGGAAATGTTTTTATCTCAACTTATTTATTGGAGAGCAGATGGAAATTTTGCTTAGCATCTGGGCGTAGGGTTGGGGTAAAGCTTGAGAACCTGATTTCTGGAGAGTTCAGGAGGGAAACTTCATTACTTACCAAAGAAATAATCACATGCTTAGTCATTTCTGAGTAATTCCAAGCCATTGCCTGTTTCTTCCAGCTGTTACCTGGGAGTGATCTCCCTGCCTGTACACACACAGTAGTTCTTCATGCTGACAGATGTTTCCTGTTAGTTTTATTGGTATGTGGTTCTCTCTCCTGTAGTTACTGAGATTTTTGGCACTTGCTCCTGCTTAAGAGGGATCATTTTATACTTGAACAGCTCCTCCAGGCTCCAGTTTAAACTTGTGCTTTCTGAAAAAGGACAAAACAAGTAGCCAGTAAAACTTTAGCTCCTGAAATGGGACCATCTGTGCAGTGCAGCAGCTTCTGCAGTGATTCCAAACCAGCTCCTTCCCGTGGCCAGAGAGCAGCAAGGAGACAAGGGATGGCTACAGGTGCTTCTTTGGGATCACTTGGTGATGGTGTGAGTGCCTCTGTGGGTGCTTAGTGCAACCAGAACAAGGATTCAGATGAGATTTTTCATGTCTCCTTGTTGGAAGGGAAATTTTAATCCTGTCACCTGCAAGGGAAAGGTGTGTTGCTTTTTAACCCTCATTGCTCATCCTTCATGTTGAATACTTGTATTTTTTTACCCGTTTTTATTGATTTTTAAACCAAGCCACTAGGCCTGCACTCATCATTATGATTCCCAGGGGTGTTTTAACCAGCTTTCCTCAGGTTTTTGGTCATACAGGATATTTGTAGCTCTTTTCTCTGCACTTCTGTCGGTGTTTACAGTACTCACACTGTGACTCTCCAGTGCACTCCACAAGGACACAGTGAACAGCCACAGGGAAGCCTTACACTTCTTAAATGTGAGCAATATTCCTCTGCTCTGGCTGGCAGGAGTGGAGGAACCTATGGTACACCTGCTCTGAGCTTGCTCTTAACCCTGTTCCTCGGGCTAACCAGGGCAGTTCTGGGTGACCAACTATTTATTAACTAGTATAGAATCACTATAAAATGGCCTTGAGCATAACGAGTGAGAGAGTTGGTACCTGAGAACTCTATTTTAAACCAATAATCCATTGTTTTACATAGGAAATGATTAAAATTCCTTCAGTGCATACCAACACTTGGCCTCTCCACACTGCTTTTGTTCCCTGGTACAGCTTGTATCCCTAAAAACAGCTTCCTGGGTGTGCAGGGATGGGCACTGCCCTGGGCAGCAGGGGCAGGGTTGGGAATTGCATCTTGCTTTGGAAAGGGGATTACTGTGCTTCTCACAGTTGAAAAAAAGGGAATGAGCCTGGTCTGGAGCTCCTGCCAGGGTGAGAGGTAGGAGAGGAACCCCTGGGTGTTTCCTCCAGCAGGAGCAGAGGCTGTTGCCTTTCCAAACCCAACTGTGGCAGTGCCTGTCTTCTGTGAAGCATTTCAGAGGCTGCAGAGGGGTAAAATACCATTTTCCAAGCTGATTAGTTCTGTGGTTTTATATTGGAACTAAAGAACCTTGAGCACTTTGAGTTGAAGTTGTATTTTGCTCCTGCTTCTTAGTCTGGACCTGTCAAATAAATTGGATTTGCTTTTGGGGTGTGGTGGTTTTTGGGGTTTTTTTTGCTTTCTCTGACATTTGCATCATTCCAGCTAAGCTAGAAAGTTCTGCTTCCCTCACTTCTCAAGGCCTGGCTTACTCTGGATGGATTCAGAGCATCCTCTGTGTGCTGAGGGTAAAACCAAAGCCTCTGCACAATGTTACACCACACAGTAACTGAGACTGCTGGTAAGTATCTGCCTTTTTCTGGCATTTCTGTACATTAAAGTGACATTATCAGCTGGGGAACTCCCCAAGGTGGTTCTGATTTAGTCCTAAGAACCACTTTTTGGATATTTTCAGCCAAGTTTTGAGTCTCCCTGTCTTGGAAAAAGGAATCAGGACAACACAGACACATCCAAGGCCAGTCTCCCTGTCTTGGAAAAAGGAATCAGTACAACACAGACATATCCAAGGCCGTGACAGGCAGGGGGTCATGTTATCAATTTCTGTCTGTACCTAACAGAGGTGAGCAGAGGGCTCAGAGTGTGTTGAATATTCATGCCAGGACTGCTGTGTAACCGTAGTCAGAGTAGTGTAACCGTAGTTAGAGTAGTGTAACAGTAACTCTTTCCAAGGAAACTGATGAAGGAAAGAGAAGCTCAGAGCTACAACCACCTGTGGTTTGTTCTAAAACTAATCCAGCTTTGAAACTTCTTTAACTTGATGCTATTTGGTCCTGAAAACAAGACTGAGGATGTGCTTTTTTTTTTTGTGTGTGTGTGTTTTTGGCCTCTTGTTTCAAGTTTCAGGCTCTGTACACCAGTAATTCCTGATTTTCACTTGGAAACCTTCTCATACTGCTTGGGCTGAGTTTTGATCCAAAATAAGCCTCCTAACTGAATCACTGGTAACTGCACCATGCTCACAGGATGAGCTTTCACTGTCCTGTTAACATCAGGGAAACCTTCCCCCAGCACTGCCCTCCCATTCCCTCACTGCACAGTGGGAACTGGGACAGCCTCAGCCCAGTACAGCCCAGTTAATAACCAACAGCACATCCATAAGAGTCTGGATTGTTTACTGAGCTTTTTATTTGTACAAAGAGACATAGCAGGGAGTGAAGAATGAGAGCAAACAGGAATGCTGCTCCAGGGAACATGGAGCTGGGGCTGGAAGCTTTGCCATCCCCCCCAGCAGCAGCCCAGGCTGCAGGCCAGGCTTACAGCAGGGAGCACTGAGGAAACTCAGGGACACAGGAAAATCAGGGAGCCAAGAGAGGAGCAGAAAGCAATGGAGCAGTGCTGCTTTGCTTCCTCACTCTTGTTTCACTTGGATTAACAACTCAATGTGCTCTTTGCAGGGCTCATAGTCATGTCACCACCAGAGCAGCAGCAAAGGATATCCCTGTTCAGTGCAGTCAGTGTCCTTCCACCAGAACAGAAACCACCTCAGATGCAGCACAAGGGGTTAGAGAACAGCTCAAACACAACTTTCTGGAGGTTAATGCCTTAAAACACAAAATAAATTACTAACCCAAACACCCCTATGTTAAATACCAAAGTAATCATTAGTAAAATCCAGTTTCTACCCACAGCAGTGCAAAACAAAATAGCAGCATTTGTACAAGGAGGGGAACAGTGTAAACACTTGGGTTTGGTACTGAGAATGCACAAACAGGTCTGGCTGGAGCTTCAGCACCTCCAGAGCCCTGGAGGCTTCACCTGCACCCCAGTGCCAACCAGGCTCAGCAGGGCTGGTTTGGTGTGAGGCTGTTTGGGGCTATTTAGCCAAAGAGTTAAAGCAAATAACGTTAGGAATGACAAGCTTATCCCTGAACAGCTACACTGGACTCAGGTCATGTTCCAGGATTTCTGCTCAGAGGCAAGAACATGCCTGACCCCACAGCTGTGGTGGGTCAGAGCCTTTGGACTATCTTTGAACAGTTTGGGTCAGAAGGGACCTGAAAGCTCATCCTGTTCAATCCCCTGCCACAGACAGGGGCACCTCCCACTAAGACCAGGCTGCTCCAAGCCCCATCCAACCCCCAAGACTCAGCATTCAACCAAGGAGCTGAGTTAATCAGAGACAAAAGCAGATGTGATGTGACCAAGTGTGTGGGCCTGCTGCTCCCCAGGCAGGGCATGGCACTGGGCACATGGCCCTGCTCCTCGGGCAGTGCTGTCCCAGCCCCTGGTGTCCTCACACCCCAGGGATGCTCTCGGGCACGTGGTGTGGGACCAGACACACTGCACCAGCCCCTGCTCACACCCAGCTGGGTTTGCTCCTGGCAGCTCCAGCAGTCACTGCTGAGGGATGAGGGTGATCTCCAGCACCCAGCCAGGCTGGTGTTGGAGGTAACGTCACGATGGAGCCACATGATGCAGCGTGGGCCGACAGGAAAAGCCACACACACACATCCTCAGGGCATCGCCGGCGGCTGGTGGGAGCGGGGTGGGATGCTGGGAACCAGATGGGAGCAGAGCAGAGATGGGATGGTGGGTACCAGATGGAAGAACCAGGTAGGACCGGAGCAGCGATGGGCTCGTGGGTACCAGGAGGGAGAACCAGAGGATG